GAACCGGGGCCCTCTGGTGTCCCAAGCCAGCTCTTAACCAATGTGCCACTCGGCCGGCTCTCCACTAATTCTTTAGTTACTATTCCCCTATAGTTATATAAGCGTACCCCTTCACAGAAATATTTTTTTGTGGGATTTTTTCCCCCCTTCTTCATTGGATCTTCATTATAGTGCAACTAAAATATTGATTCTGTATTCTCTGTGTGAAAGATGATTCTGTTGACCTACTCTCAGTAGAGCATGAGTTGTTTTCCCAGGACTGATGAATTTGCATTGAGTATCCATATTCTCACTCAGGTTCCCTATAACAATTGCATGAATTTATAAGATGGCTAATCAACATTAGAAGTGCAATCTGTGACGGAAATAAAAAAAGGGCAAAACTGACTGGTTTAGACAGGGAACAAAGCAATAAGCTTAACTTCACTTAGCACTTAGCATTCTAACCAGTGGAACTAACTAGCTACATTGAGAACTTGTCCTCTGCATTTTCTAAGTAGGAAGTGATTAAATGCATATATTCCATTTATGATGTGTGCTCATATATCTTATGTCATGAAAAAACATGTTCACATAAATCTGTATCCTTCGTTTCCCTTTCAGTTCTTTTTCTTAAATGGAGATGTAATTCACATATCATAAAATTCACCCTTTTATCATGGTTTTTAGAATATTCCCAAAGTTGTGCAACCATCAGTACTATCTAATTCCAGAACATTCCATCACCCTTAAAAGAAATCACATCTCCGTTGCTTCTTTCCTCCTGCCCTTGGCAAGTATTACCCTTCAGTTCTTCTTAATACCTTATTTTTTTGCTAAGTATTTTAATCAAGTTTCAAATTCTTTTTCTCAAGGACTTCAACAAGTGACATTTGGCTGACTTGCTCCAGCCTCATCCATGCATGTGTGACTTATCCCAAGTCGTTTCTTCCAAATCTTCAATTCTTATTCTACTTCACTCTGGGATTTGTTTTATTAAACAAGTCCTCTGTTGGGAATACTTTTTTGAATGTCACCAAAATCCTTTCATAAGAAAACACACACATAGACATAAAACAAAACACAGAAAAACATTTGTCTTTTCAAAATGAACTTCTTTGGGATGACTTCATTTTTAATGTCTTCACCAGAAACAACTTCTTTTTAACTGTGTGTCCTAGAGTTGAATTTCTATGGAAAGTGTGTGATTGCAGAGATCATCGTCTTTCTCTATAAAGACGCCAGCCACTTGCACGTTTAATTTCCTCACTAAATAATCATATTTGTGTGTGTCTTTCAGAATGCAGCTCTTCAGCATCTGTTTATTCGGAAGTCCTTCCGGCCTTTTAAATGTTTGCAGTGTGGGAAGGCCTTCCGTGAAAAGGACAAACTGGACCAACACTTGCGCTTCCACGGGCGGGAGGGGAACTGCCCGTTGACCTGTGATCTTTGTAACAAAGGCTTCATCAGCAGCGCATCTTTGGAGAGCCACATGAAGCTCCATTCAGACCAGAAGACTTACTCTTGCATTTTTTGCCCAGAGTCCTTTGACCGCCTTGATTTGTTGAAAGATCACGTGGCCATTCATATCAATGATGGCTACTTCACCTGCCCAACGTGCAAGAAACGGTTCCCAGATTTTATCCAGGTGAGTGTCTACCATTCAGATTCCTG